CCAGAGGTGCGGCGAGGGGTGAGGGGGACCCCCGGCACCGGGACTCTCTGATCGCCCATCCCGGAGCACCGGGGGTTCCTGAACCCCCATTCCTGGGCACCGGGATTCCCCCACATCCCCATTCCCGGGCATGGGATCCACCCTGCACCCCCTGATCCGGCACCAACAACCCCCGCACCCCCACTCCCGGGCATGGGATCCACCCTGCACCCCCTTATCTGACACCAACAACCCCCGCACCCCCACTCCCGGGCAGGGGATCCACCCCGCACCCCCTTCCCGGCCATCTCGCCTCTCCCAGCCCCTAGAGCCCCCTTTTCCTTCCCGCAGAGACCCCCTGGACCCCAGTTCCTGCCTTTCCCAGCCCCCAGCCCCTCCTTTCCTTCACACCGAGGACACCTGGGACCCTTATTCCCGGCCATCCCGGGTTTTCCCACCTTTTGCTGGGAATGGGAACACCTGGGCTCCTTGGAGCTCCCTTTCCTGCATGCAGGAACCCCCTTAGCCCAGCCCGTGCCCCCTCTACCCACCGCAGCCTCCCCTTTTCTCAGTCCTGGAACCCCCAAACCCCGTTCCCTGCTCTCCCAGCTCTCCCTTTGGTTCCCCCTTTGGTTCCCCCGTGCCCCCCCAGCCCCCAAATCTCGGTGTCCCCCCAGTTCTCCTGTCCCCGCGTTCCCTGCTGTCGGAGCCCGGCCCGGGGTTCCCCCGGTTGGTGTCCATGGGGTCCCTGGCTGGGATCCCCTTCCAGCAGGATCTCGGCACAGCCAGAGCCGGCACCATGAGTGGCACCGGCATGGGGCCACCGGGGAGCTGCCACTGCTGCAGCTGCATCCTGCCATTCCCAGTTGCTCCCAGTTCCTCCCAGTGGCTGCGCAGTCGGCTCGCAGCATGCGCCTGGCAGCTCCCAGCACCCCCAGACAGGGACCAATCACACCCCCTGCAATCCCAGTCCGATTGTAGCTACTCCCAGTATGATCCCAGTCACTTCCAGTATGATCCCAGTCAGTCCCAGTATGATCCCAATTACTCCCAGTATGATCCCAGTCACTTGCAGTGTAACTCCACTCACTCCCAGTCTGATGCCAGTGGCCCCCATTATGATCCCAGTTTCTCCCTGTCAATGCCAGCATGACCCCAGGAGCCTCCAATATAATCCCAGTGATTCCCAGTCTCTCCCAGTATATCCCAGTCCTCCCCAGCATGCTTCCAGTCACTCCCAGTTCCCCTCAGTTGCTTTCAGCATGATTCCAGTTGCTCACAGCCATTCCCAGTCAATCCCTGTATGACTCCAGTCACCCTCAGTGTGATCCCAGTCTCACCCAGCATGGATCCAACTGCTCCCACTGTCAAACTAGTATGATCCTAGTTGCTGCCAGAGTATTTCCACTTGTTCCCAGTTCCTCCCAGCATGGTTCCAGTTGTCCCTAGAATAGTCCCAGTCCCGTTCACCGAGGTCCAACTCACTCCCAGTTGCTCCCAGCATGGTCCCAGCTGTTCCCAGTGTGCTCCCAGTCCCCCCAGTATGGTCACAGACAGTCCCAGCATATCCCAGTTGGCCTAGTACAGTTCTAGTTAGATCAGAATGATCCCAGTTCCTCCCAGTTGCCTCCAGGATGATCCCAGTTTCTGGCAGTTGCCCAAAGTGTGATCCCAGTGGCTCCCAGGATGACCCCAGCAGGAGCAGTAGTCACTCCCAGTATGATTCCAGTCAGTCCCAGTATGATCCCAGTCACTTGCAGTGTAACTCCAGTCACTTCCAGTCAGTCCCAGTCTGATGCCAGTGGCCTCCAGTGTGATCCCAGCTGCTCCCTGTCAATGCCAGCATGACTCCAGGAGCCTCCAGTATGATCCTCATGGTTCCCAGTCTCCCCCAGTATATACCAGTCCCTCCCAGCATGCTCCCAGTCACTCCCACTTACCCCCAGTTGCTTCCAGCATGATTTCAGTTGCTCACAGCCACCCCCAGTCAATCCCAGTATCATTCTAAGCACCTTCAGTGTGATCCCAGTCTCACCCAGCATGGACCCAGCTGCTACCACTGTCATCCCAGTATGATCCCAGTTGCCTCCAGTACAGTCCCACTTGTTCCCAGTTCCTCCCAGGATGGTCCCAGTTGTCCCTAGAATAGTCCCAGTCCCGCTCACCGAGGTCCAACTCACTCCCAGTTGCCCCCAGCATGGTCCCAGCTGTTCCCTGTGTGCTTCCAGTCCCCCCAGTATGGTCACAGACAGTCCCAGCGTATCCCAGTTGGCCTAGTACAGTTCTAGTTAGATCAGAATGATCCCAGTCTTTTCCAGTTCCTCCCAGTTGCCTCCAGGATGATCCCAGTTTCTGGCAGTTGCCCAAAGTGTGATTCCAGTGGCTCCCAGGGTGACCCCAGCAGGAGCAGTAGTCACTCCCAGTATGGTTCCACTCGCTTCTTGGATGATCCCAGTCACTCCCAGTATTATGCCAGTGGCCCCCATTATGATCCCAGTTGCTCCCTGTCAATGCCAGGATTACCCCAGGAGCCTCCAGTATGATCCCAGTGACTCCCAGTCTCCCCCAGTATATCCCAGTCCTCCCCAGCATGCTCCCAGTCACTCCCAGTTCCCCCCAGTTGCTTTCAGCATGATCCCAGTTGCTCACAGCCACTCCCAGTCACTCCCAGTATGGTTCCAGTCACCCCCAGTATGACCCCAGTCAGTCCCAGATACTCCCAGCGTTATTGCAGTCATGCTCAGAGTGACTCCCTGGCACTCCCAGTGTGGGCCCAGTTGCTCCCAGTCACTTCCAGTATGGTTCTAGTCAGAACCAGCACCTTCCCAGTCACTCCCAGTATGATCCCAGCCATTTTCCATAGGATCCCAGTAGGATCCCAGCATGGGCACAGCTGCTCCCATGATCATCCAGTGTGGCTCCAGTTGCTGCCATTTACCCCCAGTGTGGTTTCAGTCTCTCCCAGTGTATCCCAGTTGCTCCCAGCATGTTCCCAGTCATTCCCAGCTGCCCTGAGTTGCTTCCAGCCTGATGCCAGTTGCTCACAGCCACTCCCAGTCACCCTCAGTGCAGTCCCAGTGGCCGCCAGTATGATCCAGTATGATGCCAGTCACACCCAGCATTGGCCAGCTCCTCCTCCTGTTATCCCAGTAGGATTCCAGAAGCCCCTAGCATGGTTCCAGTCAATCCCTGTTCCTCCCAGTGTGATCCCAGTTGTCCCAGTATAGTCCCAGGTACTCCATAGATGGTCCCAGTCATGCCCAGTTGTCCCCAGTGTACACCCAGCCATTCCCTCTTGCTCCCAGGTATGCCCAGCATGGGGTCCCAGTTGTTCCCAGCATGGTCCCACCTGTTCCCAGAGTGGTACCAGTCACCTGAGTATGGTTAACAGACACTCCTGGTATATCCCAGTGTCCCTCAGCATGCTCACAGTCATTCCCAGTTACCCCAGTGCAGCCCAGTCCAGTCCAGTCCCTGGCAGTGCTGCCACTGCTGGGATGCCCCAGCCCTGTGTGCGTTCCCCCCGGCGCATGTGCCGAGAGGAGCCCCAAGGGCTGGCAGTGGCCAGGCAGGGTCCCCAGCAAGGCCCAGTTTGGATGTGCAGCCCCCAGTTTGCCCAGTTTGCCTCTCCTTTGGCCCAGGCCGGGTTTCCCCGTCCGCAGCGGCTGGGAGCAGCCGAGAGCCCCGCGCTGCCCATCCCGACCTGTCCCGGCTCCATCCCCGCTCCTGCCGCGGGCTGCGAGGGCTGCGGGAACGGGGCACCGTGGGTGTGGCTGCTGCTGGGGGAGGAGGAGGAGGGAGGGAAGGGCAGGGATGGAGGGGGAGAAGGAGGTGGGGTTAGGGGGGAGGAGGGATGGAAGAGGAGAGGGAGGAAGAGGAGGGACAAAGGAGCATCGAGGAAAGAAGAAAACCACGCGGTCATTCCTTCCCTGAATTCGCAGCCCCCACCTGTGGGCTCATCGCCTCCCCCCACCATCGCGCAAGTGAGTGGGGGGGGGGGAGAGCTCAGCCCAGATATCCCGGGGGGTCCCTGGGTTGGGTTTTTTTGGGGGGATGTTTAGAGAATGACGCAGTCCAAGGCTGAGCGGAAAAGGCCCCTTGGGGGGACATCGGGGGGTGCCGGTGGCGGCTGCCGGCAGAGGCAGCCTGGAGGAGCAGAGCCCTGTGTGCCTCAGGAGCCCAAAGTGGGGAGCCCAGAGAGGGGGGAGCGCCGCCATTGGCGGGAGCCTCAAGAGCCTGGAGAGGGGCAGGGGGGACTCCTTGGAGCCGCTGCAGCCCAGAGCAGAGAATGAGGGGAGAAGGGAGCCCGGGAGCCCGAACAGCCCCGGCATCCCGAAATGGGGAGAGCCAAGAGGGGGGAGCTTTTCGGATCGCTGGGTCTCCCAGCAGCCTGGGCAGGGCGGGGACCGAGGAGAAGGGGCACCCCCAATCCAAGCGTGGCCCCAGCAGCTGGGACAGGGGGAACCCCCAAACACCAGAGAGGAGGGACCAGGGACGGGGAACTCCTGGGAGGCTTTTCCAGGGCTGAATCTTGGTGTTTGGGAGGTTTTTATGCCACCCAGATTGCCAGTGACTTGTAGAGATGGACTTGGGCAGAGGGACCTTCAAACTCAATGTGCTCATCCCTTGTTTTCCCCAAACCAGGATTTCCCATTCCCAACCCCTGGGATGCTGTGAGGAAGAGGAAGATGCCCCAGGACACTAAGGCAGGTGTGGAGGAAGTCAGTGCCCCTTTCCCCTCTGTGCTGCTCCATCTCCCAGCCCAGCACGGCCCTGGCTGCAGTACAGCCCTGGGGGAATCTCCTTGCCCTTGCCTGTGGCACGGAGGCAAATCCCATCCTGTCCTTGTCCTTCCTCCCCCAGAGCAGGATCTGAGCATGGAGAGCAGGGAGGACAAATGCCCACGGCAGAACCTGGTGGAAGAGGCCGTTTTGAGCGGCTCCACGTCACAGGAAGCCAACAGGGAGGAAAAGCCCTGGAGATGCCGCACAAGGAGGGGCTGCAAACGCAGCTGGCGGGGATCTGAGGGGGAAAGAGCCAGCCTGGGCCGGGAAGGCGGCCGGAGATGGAGCCAGAGCTCGGAGCTGGTGCTCCATGAGCAGCTCCATGATGGGGAGAAGCCCCAGAAACGTGTGGAGTGTGGGAAGAGGTTCTGGAGGAGCTCCGACCTAAAGAAGCACCAGAGGACCCACACTGTGGAGAGGCCCTACAAGTGTGATCAATGCAGGAAAAGATTTAAGACCAGCTCCCATCTCCTCCAGCACCAGCGCACGCACACAGCGGAGACGCCCTTCCGCTGCCCCGACTGTGGGAAGGGATTCAGGCACAAGTCCCATCTTGTCATGCACCAACAAATCCATACTGGGGAGAGGCCCCATAAGTGTGAGGAATGTGGGAAGAGCTTCAGCCGGAGCTCCAGCGTGATCCGGCACCAGGTAATCCACACTGGGGAGAGGCCCTATGAGTGTGGGCAATGTGTGAAGCGCTTCAGCTTGAGATCCCAGCTGATGAGGCACCAGGTGGTTCACACTGGGGAGAGGCCCTATGAGTGTGAGGAATCTGGGAAGAGCTTCAGCTGGCGCTCCACCCTGATCAGGCACCAGAGGACCCACACTGGGGAAAGGCCCTACGAGTGTGAGGAGTGTGAGAAGAGCTTTAGCTTGAGGTCCGAGCTGATCCGGCATCAGAGGACTCACACTGGGGAACGGCCCTATGAGTGTGATCAATGCAGGAAGAGATTTAAGTCCAGCTCTGATCTCCACCAGCGCACGCACACAGAGGAGAGGCCCTTCCGCTGCCCCGACTGCGGGCAGGGCTTCAGGCACAACTCCCATCTTGTCATGCACCGACAAATCCATACTGGGGAGAGGCCCCACGAGTGTGAGGAATGTGGGAAGAGCTTCAGTCGGAGCTCAACCCTGATCAGGCACCAGAGGACCCACACTGGGGAACGGCCCTACGAGTGTGGGGAGTGTGGGAAGAGGTTCAGACAGAGCGCCAACCTGATTCAGCACCGGAACATCCACACTGGAAAACGGTCACACAGGTGTGGGAAATGTGGGAAGGGCTTCAGGCAGCATTCCTACTTGATCCGCCACCAAAAGATCCACACTGGGGAGAGGCCCTACGAGTGTGATAAATGCAGGAAGAGGTTTAAGACCAGCTCCTGTCTCCTCCGGCACTATCGCATTCACAGAGAGGAGAGGCCCTTCCAATGCCCCGACTGTGGGAAGGGATTCAAGCACAACTGCACCCTCGTCACCCACCAACGCATTCACACTGGGGAGAGGCCCTACGAGTGTGAGGAGTGTGGGAAGAGCTTCTCACAGCGCTCTCACTTGAACAAGCACCAGCGGAGCCACCAGTAAGGGAGGCCCTGCGAGTGCCCCGAGTGCGGGAGGAGGAGCTTCGTGTGCTGCTCCAGCTCCATCCCCCACTGGAGGAGGCACTTTGGGCACAGCCCTGGTCACTCATCTATGGCTTCTCCTTTCCGTTTGTCCTGAATTTTCTTCTGCTTCATCTTCATCTCTTAAGAGCAGCCAAACAGTGTTAAATGAATGAAATTGATCAAAGATGTCCAAAGTCCCTCCATTAATCAGGAGTTTGAGGGGGAATTTAGGACTTGGGGACACATTCTGTGTGGAGTGCCTCTGTGTCTAAGAGGCAGGAATTTGATTTCACCCTTCTTGTGTTGCTAAGAACTCTTCCCTTGACCCAAACCCCAACTCCAGCCCTGGGATACCCTATAAAAACCCCATGGCTCTGCCTTTGCCCTGTCTGTCGGGGGTCAGAAATGGATTCTGGAGCTTTCTCAAACCAAGACCCAACTTGTTTGTTCCTGACATCAGCAGCTGCAGCCTCCCTGGATACCATGAACTCTGGAGAATGGGGGCAGCCAGTGAGGACAGGTCCTGGATTGCAAGATAAGTGTGTGTTCTGTTTGCCATCTGTCAGAGGTGGGGCAGTTATCTTCTGTTCATTGGGCAGTTTATCTCTTCCACAACCAATCCTCCCTCCAGGAGATATCTTCTGATAATGGACTGGCCATTAATTATTAATTATCTGCTGTTAATGGGCCATTGAGTGTCCCTGCATGGCTGATAAAATGACATCCTGCCATTAGGTGATGCTCCGCCCAGGAGGAGGAGCCAAGCATTCCTACCTGGATAGAATCTGAGGTTTGGAATTCCACAGCAGCCTTTTCCCACTGGATTCCCAGAGGATCAGCCTTTTCCCACTGCATTCCCAGAGGAGCAGCTGTCTTCTCCACTGGATTCCCAGAGGACGGAAGATTCCCCGGCCCATCTGCAGCAGCCCGGACCTTCAGAGGAAAACTCCACCCTTCTCCAGGATCCCTGCTCCAACAGAACCACACCTGGCACTGCAGGAGGGCTGCAGCCACCATTCACTGGGACTGCTGCCAACAGCCTGACCCACAGGGTGTCAGGTAGTGTTCTGACTCTGTCAGTGGTTTTGTTTGTTTGTACTACAGCATTTGTATTTTTAATTTTTCCTTATAAAACCTGTTATTCCTATTCCCATATCTTTGCTTGAGAGCCCCTTAATTTCAAAATTACAGCAATTCAGAGGGAGGGAGTTTACATTTTCCATTCCAGGGGAGGAACCTGCCTTCCTTAGCTGACACCTGTCTTTTCAAACCAAGACAATAACAGTTACTTTAACACACAGATATAAAATACATTTTAATATCTTTGAAAAGCCAATATTATAATATATGTGTATAACGATAGTGACCTTAAAAACATGGGGGTAGAAAGCTTACGAGGAGGGGAATTTCCAGTAAGGGAAGCAAAATTCCCAGTACTGGGACTGGGCCATGGGACCGACATCTACCATCATTCAGCGAGAGGTTTATTTTTATGGATACGTATTATAATATTGGCTTTTCACAGATATTAAAATAGATTTTATATGTGTGATGTTAAAGTAACTGTGTTGTAAAGATATAGTTTTGTTTTCTGTCATTAATTAAGCTTAGTGAAATAGCTGCTTGTGTTAAACTACCTGCTTGGATGGGATAACATCCAATGCACACAGGATGAGGACACCTGTACAGATCTGCCAACTATCAGCACTCCCCGTCTCAAGGCAGAATGGACCAAGGCCCAAAAACTGGACGTGATAAGAATGGACTAAAACCACAACCAAGGAATCTGCATGCCCTAAAAAGGCAGATCCAAGGAAGAGCCGTGCTAAACCGTTCTTGAAGCATGTAAACTAGTTTGGGGGTAAAGTTTGCTGTGCATGAGGGTCTATGAATATGCAACAGGCTGATGTAAGGGGAAAGGTATTTCAGGGGGATCCCCAGTGCCAAGATGCACCCGGCCGTGATAACCTTTGCTCCATGGTCCTGGTCTCCCATTGTCCTTTATTAAACTTTTTACATTTTCACAAGAGAGTGAACGTGTTTTTCACATTTAGGAACGGTTTAAGTTTTTTTGTTTTTCATGGGAGGGAGTTTTGAAGAGCTACAAGTGGCTAATCTGCCTGCAACAAGGACCATTCCACGGGCTCTTGTCACCTTTCCTGACACGTCTGCTGCAGCTCATGGAGGGTAAAGCCCTGGAGGCTCCTTAGGGGCGGTTATGGACGATTGCAGGCAGTGCCTTGATGCCCTGGATCAGCAGTGCCCCCTCCTGGGAACCTCCACATTTTGGGGGAGAATTTGGAGAGTTTTGAGGAGATTTGAGGGAGATTTTGTCTGGGTTTGAATCCTACGCCAAATTTGGTGTCCGGGAGGTACCAAAACCACCCAAAATCCACCCAGAATTGACCCAAAATTACCAAAAATTAACCCAAAATTTCCTCCAAATCCATCCTCTGGGGGTTTGGGGGAGATTTGGAGGGATTTTAGGGGAATTTTAGGGGAGAATTTTTAGTGGTTTTGAATCCTATGCCCATTTCGGCATGCATGAGGTACCCAACCCCCCCCCAAAATCCACCCAAAATTTTTCCTGAGGTGGTTGGGAGGAAGTTTGAGGGAGTTTGAGTGAATTTGGGGGTTCCAGGGGAGATTTTATGGGGGTTTTTGGCAGTCATCATCATCCAAAACACAACACCCCATGCCAAAGCCTAGACCAAACCCTAAGGACTGTGCCCCCCATGGAGAGGAGATCAAAGAACTGCACCCCTTCTGGGGAGGAGATCAAAAGCCAGAGGAGACTGAGCTATTAACTCATTAAGTAAAAACGTATTCATTTAATCAAGTATCATCATTTCTGTTACTTTATCCTTTGTGATTAAGTCTCGAATGCTTTTCTATTCCTTGTTAATTTAGCTGAATAATATTCATTTTGGTTTTGTAAACTATTAAGTCATATTCCTGATCTTATATATGTGGTCCCATATGTCTAATAAACCACAAACTTACAATTTAGCAGCAGTTTTAATTGAGATAAAATGATACGATCAAATAGCATCCAGTAGTTACAAAAAGAAATTTGGCAGTGGTTTGGATAAAGCATAAGCAAAACCCATCGATCAGGGTATGGGGAGGGCTTCCCACCCTGCCTCACGTGCAAAAGGCAAAAGGATCCCAACACAACTTATATACTGTGTGCTAATACATATTCATCAATATTTTCCTGTAAATCTCCTCCTATTTCCGATTCTTGAAATCTACATCACCACAGCACACACAGCGCATGCTTCCGCTGTGGCTAAGGGGGCTTAAGGCTCTTTGGTGCTCTTCTTGGAGGAAGGCCAGCAGTCTTCCTCGCTGTCCTCTGAATAACCTGGCAGGTTGTGCACGTGCCCCAAGTCCTGTGTTATGTAAGTAAGCACTGTGTTCCAAGTAAGCCTTATTATTTTATAGATAAGAGCACTATTTTAGACTCCCTGTCTGGAATTGTCCCAACTTTATTCATGTCACAGCCGATCCTGTCCTGGGAGTTGTCTTAACTTTGTCTTGATGCCAATTCTGACTTGGGAGTCTTCCTAACTTTTGTTCATCAAGGCCAATTCCAATCTCCTGTATACTTTTTCCCACATGTATCATCTACAAAGAAGCCCATTTGCTTCATATTAATCACATTTACATTTCCAATTATTTTCCAAAAATATTGATATAATTACAATTTTCTTAGCATGAACGACATTCATTTATCACAGAAGGCCAAAAGCTTGGAAAAGGATGAATGAAACGCTCCGATGATGACAATGACAAAACAACCAATTTATTTTTGACAGCAAATGAACGCCGGCCGCCCTCCAGCCCTCCCAGCCTGGCAGGCCAAGTGGGGCCATTCCCATGGCATGAGGCGCTAGCAGCCTGCGGAGAGAAACCAGAGAGCCACGGTCAGTCGCAGCAGGCTCCTGTCCCCCGGTCCCGCCATGGCTGTGCCCAGGCCAGGCTGCTGGCTGTGCTCAGAGCCCAAACCTCCCGAACCATTCTCTGTTTTTAGAGAAGGGCAGCGGGGCAGGCCACGTTCCACCTCCTCTGCTTAATCACAGCACAGCAACCTCCTCAGCAGCTGCAGGAGCGGCATGCCCGCGTGCCCGCTGCCGCCTGCCCAGAGCCCTTCTGCCAGCCGAGCTGTGGATCCGGATGCCCACCTCTGGAGAGCTGCTGCCAGGAGAGGAGCCGATCCCGCACCAGGTCCTCGTCCTTCTGGAAGGGGCTGTCCCTGCAGACCGTGGCCCCTGGGGTAGCACTGGCACTGGACGCGCTCCACGGATGCTGCAGGCGCTTCCCCGTCTGGTCCGGGCACCAGGTGTAATCCTCCTGGGAAAAACAAAGAACAATTGCATGAATGCCAATTCAAAACAAGACCTGGAAAAAAGAAAAAGCACAAAGCCTGCCACTGTTTCATGGGCCTGTGGAGAGTCTGACCACTCCATGGGAGAATTAAACCTGTCCACGGGTGGGGAAAATCCTCACCTTTCCTGCCCATAAACGCAGCCCTTCCTCAAGGGCCTGCAGAGCAGGCCAGCTGGGGCACAGCTTTGGAACCCGTCCCCCTCTGCCGCCCCCCATCCACATGGATGGATGCTTTTGTCAGGCTGGCTGCCCCCACCTCAGCCCGTGCCAGGCTGGCTGGCAGAAGCTGTCAGCAAGGCCAGGAGCCAGCTCCCCTTCCACAAAAAGCAGCTCGGCGGCCGGCGGAACAATTAATATTCCCCAGCGCTGCCAAGCGGGGAACCTCCGGCACGTGGCCAGGCCGAGCCCTGCCGTGCCTGGAAGCACCAGCATCCCCCCACCCCTGCGCTGGCTGGGGACTCATCTTAATTCCATCGGGGTGCAGAGCGTGTCCTCCAGGCAGGGGCCACAGCCAAAGCCAATCAGCCCTGCCCTGCCAGCGGCCAGCTCCAGGATGGTGTTCCCAGCTCCACGTTGTGCTCCAGAAGA